CAAGTTTATAATGGTCATGTTTCAGAATTGAACAAAAAACTCTAAATATCAAGAGACCCAAACAAATAACATACTTTCCACAAGACAATTCAAACATGTTTGAATGGCAAATAGCCAAAAACGTTGAATGATTTCTCTAAGTCTCGTTACCGATGCTGTCCTCTGAGCAGCTTACTTCAAAGTAGAACACTTCATCAATAAGGAAAATGGCTCTAAAAGGGCAGTTTTTAGTTTTTGCTTTAAAGGGATTTTCTGGAGTTTGTCAGAAAAAAAGAGAGAGAAAAACCATGCAAGCCTCCTCCCCCTTCCTTTCTGATTGGTCTACGCCTACATTTCCGTAACAATCAAACAACACATTTAAATGTTAATCGTAAAATACATTATACATAAACATTATTAATACACATGCACGGAGGTTTTCAGAATTATTTGTTAACGTTTTCATTAAAAAAATAATGTTTTAATGCACAAAAAAAGCGATCGCTGTAAACCCGGAAGTAGCTATTATCATTAATTGAACATTATAGGACACATCTGCAGAGGATCTGATTATGGATATACAGTAGGTTCAGTATATAAATTATTAAAGATATAGGTTCAGAATAAAAATGGGTAACTCAGCGCGGATGTTCAGAAGTTTTTAAGAAGTTTCAGAGCCTAAGGCCCTGTCCACACGAAGTCAAGCTCAGGCCTAAACGCAAAAATACTTTATCAATCCAGTGTATTGTCCATACGAGGCCGGCGTTTTGGGGGGGTGTAAACGAACATTTTTGAAACTAGGTCCCAGAGTGGAAAGATTTCAAAACTCCGTATATGCCGCTCCGTGGTTACTGCCTCTCCGCAATGTATCTGAGACACTTGCGTCATCGCCCCGCCTCTTGTTAAAGCACGCATGCGCCGCACTCAGAAAATAATGACAACAACAATGTAGCTTGTTGGTTTTGTAATCCAGTGTGACCCGAAGCAACAGTTCAACCTCATCGTCCGTCCATACTAATGTAGTACCAGCTCGCCCACTCGCCATGTTGTCTGTTTACAAAATTCCGCGCATGCCCACGGAAGTTTGGGCTTGATCCCGTCATTGCGTCACAGCGCCACCAACATGTCTGGCATAGTTTCACAGCGTTTTCAGGCGTATTGACTACATTCATATGGACGCACACATTTACTGAGCTAACTCCGTGATTACAGAAAAAGTTTCTGAAATTATAAGCGTTTTGTCTTCGTGTGGATATAGCCTAATAGAGGCTTGATTCGGAGGCTCCGTGAAAACAAACAACTGAGCATGCGCGCAGCTACGAGCATCAGCGCGATGATTGACAGCCCTTGGCATGGATTCTGAGCCAAGAGAAGAGAAGGCGGGACTTACCCGTAATATTAGAACTAATAAAATGACTTATTATATATCAACATTTAAGGCCAGGAGATCAATTTAATACAATTCTTAAAATGTGTAATTAATTTAGAGTTCCAGACTATCACTTTAAAAAAAAAAAAAAGACTGCTATAGGTACAGCTCCCTACTCATAAGCTATTTGCCTTGTCTATTTGAATTGTATTGAGAAGCCAAAGATCAGATTTATAATGAAGGGTTCAGAGTTTCCCGCTCACGTTACTTATCAACATTAAAGACTGCGAGACAGCTCCGCGGACATACATATGTATTTCACTATATTCATCCTGTGTTTACACCTGTCTGCTGACTGCTCACTGCGGAGAGCCTGTGCACCGCTGCATCTACATGTGCTGCATTTCCATTTGAAGACGTCGGCCAGTCCCAGTAGAAATAACAAGGAGCCTCCCCAGAGTGAGTGACAGAGCGAGAGCCAGGGCGATACTTATTCACACTGATGGGGAGATCAGAGCCAGACATGCCACACGTTGTCATTGCAGCCAACACCAGAGAAACAAACGCTTCCCCACATTGATGTTCCAGTCCCGCAGACGGGCAGACGGCAGAAGCCAACACAAACAATCACGCAAGACGACCGTGTGGGACTGAAGAGAAGAAGAGGAGGAAGATGACGATGTACGGAACACTTTGCTTGCTACACAAATCATACACCCATTTTTTTTTTTACCTTTCTTGATATCGGGCAGTTCTCAAACCGGGTCTGTGGGGTATACTCTGTGACCGTCTGCTGTAGTGTGGGTATGTTTAGATAATATCATTCAGATTAAACTAATACATTATTGTTATATTTTTAGTTAATATCAGCCTCTCAGATTCATGCAGCTAAAATCTGAAACTGAGGCAAACTTCTGCTCCGACCACAACTATGCATGTCTTTATGAATTCATTTATTTAACTTTTTGTCATGTGGGTAAAACAACGCAGAACTGCAAATATATTTTGTACATGCTTATTAAAAGCATGTACCAAAAAAAATCCAGAGTAAACAACAAAAGGTGACAGCAGGCACAGGTGATAGCAGGGCAGCTAATTAGAAACAGGAAGTAGAACAAAAGATACAGGGGTAGCAAAATACAAAATAAAACAGGAAAAAGACGTAAACCATGACACTTTTACAACTTGTTTGCACCAAGAGCTAAAGCGAATTTCTAGTTTGTGACTTGCAATAATAGTAATTCTGATTCTAAAAACAGTTTTGTTCGGCTTTGCTAACAACCAAACTCTATCTACACTATATTTTCACGTGCTATGATTTTTTTTTTTTTCAGCTGTTTGCGATTTTAAGCTTATGGAGATCAAAATCCATACAATTAAAAACAAGCTAAAAATAGTGCAAGGAATGAAAATTTAAAAATAAAAAAAATTATCAACACAGATTTCATTCAGTTGAATTATTTCTCTGTAAACAACTTGAGTTCATCAATTACAGCACAATGCCAGAAAGCAGAAGCAAAAGACCAAAATGAATGAATGATAAATCAATTGGATCTATTACATCTGGAAAAAACCTGCACTGCTATTGCCACTTTTTATTGTACATAATATATCCTGAACATTTTTTTGCCTTTAACATGTTTGCACACTTCTGTCTTTTGCACAGATCCTATCTATGCCAAATGTGACATGTAAAATTCTCCAGTGTGATTATAAGTCTATCTTATTTATTGAAATCAGAACAACGATAGCTCCTCGATGCTTAGGATGAGAATGTGTTTGCTGTGAGGAAAGAGGAAGGAAGGTGGGTCGGAAGGACTCGGGCTGCAGGGCGTGTAGAAGGTTTGGCTCGGTAACAAAAGAATCCAGCGCACTCATCTGTCATTTATCAAAACGGCCACGACTATCTGATCGGAACAGTGTATTTCATGTTGGAGAGACTTTGCAAAGATGTGGTGAGAAAGCACATATTGTCCTCTCTGCCCTCCACACACACGCTCCATGCTTGAGTGAGTTTACGGGCTGTGGTGGGATGGGGAAATAAATCAAGCCCAGCTGATGTGTGTTTACCTTCCTTAAGCCCCAGGAGATTTGGGGTAATTGAGCATGAGGTGATCGGCAATAGAAAGGCCATTTTACACCGCCGTTCACTCACGCCTCCTGCACACTACAGCAGACAAGAGAGTGGCGACGCTAACACGATCACTTCTGCATTTACAAGGCTCTGGCGCTTGTTGATGCTACAGGGGGTGTGGCTTTATTCTAATATATTTATTTACTTTTGTGCTGTTTTTTTTTTTTTTACGTGAAGTTGAAAATGCCCTCCCTCCCCTAAAAATGAACATCAAAAATTCTGATTCATACAAATAAAAACGTTGAGCACAACTTGGTTTTCTAAGGATTGTACCAGCCGTCTACCTCTGATGCTGCAAAAATAGACAACTAAAAACAGGTGCAGTAGATGGAGGAGGACACTAGAATGTTGTGTCTGGGTGACAGTTTTTCTTTATAGATTTATGTTTATTGATTTGAACGTATTTGTATGTTCTGTTCTATTGTTTCTTATGCATTTGTGTCTTTTTACTCATTGGAAACCGTGAAGGCAAAATGGCCTATACAAATAAGTCACGCACTGGGACAGTTAAATTCAGCCTAAAGCTCATGGATGATCAAGTGTGCAGTTATTAAGCATATTGTAAATAACTGTGTGTTGAATATACTGTGTTGTGTTTGTGGTTAATAATGTTACAGTTTACCTGTATTTTAAATGAGCTAATGAGGCCATTATATTTAATAACACTGCACACTGTAAACATGCTGTCACTTCACCTCTGCCCAGTGACGACAAATGGAAATTACCTAGTAATAATACGTCCAGTCTATACAATACATTTATTGTGCAATGTTCCGGTCAACTAAATAAATACATGAAGAAACAAACAGAATACTGCTGCAATGCACTTTATGCTAGTGTACATCACCCCAGCTCTAAAGTCTCTCCACTGGCTTCCTGATTCTTTTAGAATTGATTTCAAAATTCTGGGTCGGGGGGTGGCAGTCAGAGCTTCACCCAATTCACTTAGCACCAGCCCCTCACTGATCCTCCTGCAGGTGGTGAGTCCACAGGAGCTGAGATCTATCAGTGGGGGCTTCAGGCAAAGTGGGGTTAAGTGTCTTGCCCAACGACACAGCGACAGTAGACATCAGACCCCACGACCTTCAGGCTCAAAGGCCAATGCTCTACCAACTGAGCCACTGTCGCCCCATATTTATTCGAACTGGGTTAAATATACTGGAATGCAGTGGCTCTTGCACTGTATTGTATACACCTATTATATTTATTGTTTATTGTATTTATTTACATGTTTTTATGGCTTAATTAAAGCCCTTTTGTCACGAGAAGCTTCTGAAAAAAGAAAAGTGAAAGCAGGAGATGGGACATACTCAATGTAGCTCTCCCATCTAAGGCAAGACTTGGACCAGGACTAGGATCAGGCGGTCTGTGCAATGAGCTGCTGAAGACTACAGGAGGCACAACAGAGACTCAACAGCTTCTGGTTCAGATGAGGAAAAGAACAAAGAACCAGTCCAAAATTAGTACCACTATGAGGAAGGGCAGGAAAAGAGCATAAATAGTCTGCTGGATTTGAGGATGGACCAGATGAGTGCAGAAGAATCCCTGAGGTCCACGGCGGAGCAGGAGAAGAAGTGTTCGCTGGAGAATGAAGAATGCGGTGCTTCAGAATTGGTCAAGAGAGAACTGGAGGAGAAGAACAAGTGGTACAGGCGGTTCGAACGCTCGCCTGGATCTCCACCTCTGCCTCTTACCTGCATTGAAGCATAACATACTGTAGCACACAAATAAAGCAAATTGGTGAAGCAGAAAACAATTGCATGACTCTTCTATGACAATGTTGCTTTGTGACAAAATATCACTAGTAGGGCTATGCAATCTACCTAATTTATAATGTAAATTTAAATATTTGGTCAATTTATCCAACAAATGTATACAACAAAGTCTTAAATCCAATGTTATTACCCAATGCTAAAGATAAGTGCTCGTTCTACTTGCAAGAACAAAAGCTATGCCCCTTTTATGATCTATAAAGGCTTTCAAAGGGAAACATAACATAATATCTTAGGCCTGTACAGGTCAATATGACAGAATTGAAGAGTTTGAAATAATCATAATTTCAATAATGAGCCTAAAATAACCATGAATAAGATTTTCCATGATTGAGAAGTTTTAATTACTAATACAGCCGACTCTACTACTGCTTTACGGTGAACCACAGTGCGCCTCATATATGTGAGTCCGTCTCATCCAAAGACATTGCATTGTTGTTTGCCAATTGTATAAATATCAGTGCCAAAAAAATAATCACTGAAATAACAGGAAACTGACAGAAATTTTACAATATATTATTCCGAGGGTCATTATGCACAATTGGGATATTATTATGGAAACGGATTCCAAAATCTAGCATATTTCACAAATAAATGAGTGGACTCGTGCCTGTGCATAAATACACGCCTATACCATGTGTGCTGTCAGTGTGTGCGTGTGTTGACGGCGTCCCTATGCTCGCCGCGGCTCCCCATCTCTTGTAATGTACGCGTGTAATGGTATAATGAAAATTCATGATGAGAGCATGTTAACTGCATTAGCCAGTCTCCCGAGTTCCAGCACATGAATAAAATGAACAAGGGGATGGCGGGGAAAAAACAGGGAAACTCATTTTGATGCCTAATTATTTTTGGACTTGACAGGCTGGCAGCGGGCCGCTCTGTGTACATGTGTGTAGGTCGTGGGTGCTGCTTGAGTAGATGCACAGCGGTAAGCAGGGCCCTTCATTATAGGCCATAATGAGAACATCCACCCCTCACACAACAGCCGCAGAGACCTTTGTTGCATTGTTTGTTCCAACACCTTGAGCAACAACATTTTACATGGCTCAAGCACTTGTTTTTGTCTCGAATCACATACCAGGGGCAAAGCTTTCCCAGCACCTTTTCCTTTTGTTTTGTTTGCCTGCACATTTTGACGTGCGCAAATCATTATCACAGAGATAAGTAAGCTTGTAATTGTGCTTCAGTACAACAAGGGTGAAGGCAGTGAGAAATAATTAAGACAAACATTAAGTAACTCTTTCACACACGCCCAGAGCTTGGGAATGCCAGAATAAAAAACATATACAAGGAACATCATTTAGCCACATTATTAAACTGTAAGTAATTCTTGTTTATTGTATCACACTATTGATTTATATATTTAATCATTGCTGGGGAACAGAATTCGTATGCACTGTTTCATTGTTTCTAATGCATCTTTTTATTCTGTCCAACACTTGGGAGACCTTGTTGTATTTTCACTGCAGAATCCACCCTGATGCACTTTGGAGTGTGAAAAAGCAACTCTGTGGTTGCGCTTGCTGTTGTGCTAGTGACCAAACATTCATGCACATGAACACCAGTGACGTGCTGCAAAATGTATGAATTAAAGTTTCAAGTTCTTTATTTGTTTTTGCAATTAAAGTACCTAAGCTTTAAAAAATATTCTGTAACTAGTTATATATCAGTGTCTATGTCTAGGAACTATGTTCATGTCTATTCATTTCAACAGAGCTGCCTGCTGTACTGACCAATGATCCCTCGGATAAGTGAAAACACTTGTATGGCACAGATGTAGTAATAGTATAATCAACCCTGGGGGACTAGCAGAATCCTTCCTGCTCATGATGGAGACACGCTCCACTGCAATGGATGCAACAAAAAACTTTAACCTTACAATCCCAGGATTAAAGTAGGAATGAACGATAAGCAGGGCATCCGGATGGGCGTTATTGGTTTATGATTGCCCTTATCCTAACCACATTAACCTCCTGATTACTAGAGCAGACATTATTAGATGTTTCCATTCGGAGCCCAAAAGGAAAAGAGAAGCCAACAGGCAATCATGCCAAGCAGGCCGTGTCGGGAATGCAAGGCCAAGGACACAGGGGTTCGATCATCGATTAAAGAGCAATTGTGCAATTTCATTCCTGTTCCCGCACAATGAGGAATGAGATTAAGCTCAATTTGGACCTGTTCAAGAGATCTCCTCACCTCTTGTCGCAGACACCGCTGCACGCGTCCACAGCTACACACCCACAGCCCCTTCGCCGTGTCAGCGCCCCTCCAGGGAAATCAGGCGTCTGGAGACAGGTCAGCCCTGGCCCATGTATATATTCATGCACTTAATCTGGCATCATTTCTCTCTGCGGCAAGGAAAAAGAAATGTATTTAATTTACACAATCCCCATTTGGCCTCACCACATAGGGAAATACATAAGGAAAGTTGGCCCACAGCGAGCGGATTGCACATATTCACAATGAGTTTAGAGAATCGTGTGCAGTGTGTGCAAGTCTGCAGGTGTCTCTACTGTACGTCTGCATAGTGATTATATTCATGTTCAAAAAACGCATCTTATCACATTCCAGACCTGTACAGTGCACCCAAACAGTGGCAGCTGTGTAGTCAGTTTGAATGGGAGGATGGGAGTTGTACCCAGCAGATGCTCTGTGTGTATTAAACAGATTAATTATTAAAACATGCTTGACAGATGAAAAGTGGGTCCTGAGGCTATAAAGGAAAATGTTTATTCTTCTGCCATAGACAGTAATGCACTTCTCTCAACTTATCTACCGCCTCAATAAAAAGAGTAAACAGTTCCTATTTTGGAGCTCAATGTGGTTGGAACTACATGCATAATCATCCGAGAGGCCATTGGGGATGAACCATCAAATATGTGTAACGCTGGATCGCAGGGTGAAATGGGGGCACAGGGAACCAGTGTCAGCTTTCAACTGGTTGCTGAGCATGACTGTAACTTTATTTCTTTCAGATGCTTGTAGAAAATAACAGTACATGAATCAAAACTGAATGTCTGAAAGCACTTTGTGAATACTTATATTCTTGAAGTACTTCTTGATAGAAATCTCATAATAGGTCTAAATTTCACTGCCACCAGATTAAAATCTTGTGAGCGAAGATTTATTCTTGAATGAATGGGTTCTACAAGAGTTATGCAGTGTACAAGTCAGCACATTAGTGATTAGGTATAGAACTTAGAGCCAAAATGAGTCCAAGTTTTACTAAAGAATGACGTTTGTATTGAGGGCATCTGGTTTATTGCACAACAATTGTCACAGAAAATGCTCCAACATGGTCACTGAGCAGATATTGCGTTGCTGGATGTTTTTTATTGAAGCCACATCTGTTGCTATGCTGTTTACCTGTCTTTGACAATCGTCCTCTTCCAAAAGCTCAAAACATACAGGACATTAAAATCTGTGTAAATCTGTGTAAATCTGTGACAAAATACATTTGTAAAATTTGCAGAGGCCAAACATTCACTTCATCTAAAATTCCTGCAGCATTTCCATAAATGTTGCTTTCACTGCCCCATCCCCCACACTAAACAGAAACACAGGTTGCTGGATACCAGTCGCCTCATCTGTTGGTCCACACACACACTGATATGCTGTGGTGGAGGGGGGGTCCCGTGGGACAGGGTCTCAGATGCAGATCATCAGTATTAGCGGGCGGCTAAGGGATTAGCATTTCCCTGCAGTGACCTACAGGTGTAGCCCTGGGTTAAAGCTCTTCCACAGCACAACACGGCTCTGACCCTTGGCCCACAACAAACACACCTCAGACAGACGGCCGTAAGGGACAGACAGAATTATACTTTACAAACCTTCACTGGGGATGCATGATTCAATTTAATTCACAATTAAATTAAATAAGTCCATAAAGTACATTTTCCTCTATTTATATAATACAGGAAATATTCAATTTTAAGTCATTTTGTTTGGTTGTCAATACCAACATGTATATTGCCTTGAAGCTGGGACCCATTGAAAAAAAATATATATATATGTTTGGGAAAACTTGCTAAGAAGTACAGATGATGGGTGAGAAACCTTCCTTTGCATATATATGTTTGGTTTATTTATATATATATATATATAATAAACAAAATTAATTGTGTATATATATCTATATATAACTGCATATGTGTAAGAAAGAGCCCTGTGCTTCACTTTCCTGTTTGAAAAGCTTATTTTACGCTAAAAAACACATGCATGTGGAAACAGTATAGTCTCAAACTGTTTTGAGAGCGAGGAACTAGTGAGATGGATTGCACTACGTTGGTAAAATGTTTGTAAAGGTGCAGAGATTAGTCATGCTCCCGTCATGTGCCGCATGTTCTGTCGCCACAGTCTGCCGGAGTGTTTGATAAGCAGATGTAGTCACAATAGTATTGTGATGGAGACAGACAACTGAGAGGCCTTTGGCGGCTCGTGTGGATGTTTTGTTCGTTGTAATATCATCTGAACGTGGCTTGTGTTGTTGCCTCCCGTTGGACTCGCCTCGTTCTGTTGACATTTTGCTGTTATTTGTACACTGCAAAGCGGTCCATTTTCCCCGCATCAAAAGTGCTTTAACGCGTGTGTGTCAGGATGTCTTTGGTGCTTACCTTCAGCGGCTGTCAGAGAGCGTGAGTGAGCGCGGCCTGTGCTCCGGAGCAGAGGGGGAAGGCTGCTTTGTGCCCTAAGCGCTTTTTTAGTGAAGGCAAGAACCGTCTCAAAGGCTGTCAACAGACACACACACACACACACACAAACACACATCAATACGTACACAAACAAGGCTTTTCGCTCCTGGCTGCACTCCTAGTAAAAACCAAAGTGTTTGACATAAAGTCGGATTGGTAAAGCGCACACACAACTGAGCGCGCTATGCTCATTAAACAGGTTCCTCGGCCCGTGTTTGTCTTTCTCAAAGGCTATAGAAACATGAGGGTGGTGAACGCAGCTCTGATCAAGGGAAATAGACTTAGGACCGAGGACCTGACAAAGAAAAAACAACCATGGTGTGTGAAAATGTGTTTATACTTTATAATGGCACAATTACCACAAGATGTTCACATGTCCATGATGTCGTCATAAGGCAAAGCAAATCCACCAGATGGAAATGGCAGTGTACTCTTTCAAATAGAGATTTGGCTTCATCCAGCACTGTGGGGAGAACAATAGGGTCAGTCTGCTGCTGCGCACTCTGTCGACATTGGGACGTTTTGCATCACAGAAGTCATTAGCGTGAAGGCTCAATGAGTGCTCACTCAAAAGGTTTGGTTTGGTAAAAGAACAAAACAACAACTGTGGTTTTATTGAATATCCAAGTTTATTCAAGTAACTTTTCCCTGGAGGCACTTTTCCCCATCATACAGTGCCTTGCGAAAGTATTCGGCCCCCTTGAACCTTTCAACATTTCGCCACATTTCAGGCTTCCAACATAAAGATGTAAAAATTATTTTTTTTGTCAAGAATCAACAACAAGTGGGACACAATCGTGAAGTGGAACGAAATTTATTGGATAATTTAAACTTTTTTTAACAAATACAAAACTGAACAGTGGGGTGTGCAATATTATTCGGCCCCCTTGCGCTAATACTTTGTAGCGCCACCTTTTGCTGCAGTTACAGCTGCAAGTCGCTTGGGGTATGTCTCTATCAGTTTTGCACATCGAGAGACTGGAATTCTTTCCCATTCTTGGTTGCAAAACAGCTCGAGCTCAGTGAGGTTGGATGGAGAGCGTTTATGAACAGCAGTCTTCAGCTCTTTCCACAGATTCTCGATTGGATTCAGGTCTGGACTTTGACTTGGCCATTCTAACACCTGGATACGTCTATTTGTGAACCATTCCATTGTAGATTTGGCTTTATGTTTTGGATCATTGTCCTGTTGGAAGATAAATCTCCGTCCCAGTCTCAGGTCTTTTGCAGACTCCAACAGGTTTTCTTCCAGAATGGTCCTGTATTTAGCTCCATCCATCTTCCCATCAATTTTAGCCATCTTCCCTGTCCCTGCTGAAGAAAAGCAGGCCCAAACCATGATGCTGCCACCACCATGTTTGACAGTGGGGATGGTCTGTTCAGGGTGATGAGCTGTGTTACTTTTACGCCAAACATATCGTTTTGCATTGTGGCCAAAAAGTTTGATTTTGGTTTCATCTGACCAGAGCACCTTCTTCCACATGTTTGGTGTGTCTCCCAGGTGGCTTGTGGAAAACTTTAAACGAGACTTTTTATGGATATCTTTGAGAAATGGCTTTCTTCTTGCCACTCTTCCATAAAGGCCAGATTTGTGCAGTGCACGACTGATTGTTGTCCTATGGACAGACTCTTCCACCTCAGCTGTAGTTATCTGCAGTTGATCCAGAGTGATCATGGGCCTCTTGTGTGCATCTCTGATCAGTCTTCTCCTTGTTTGAGATGAAAGTTTGGAGGGACGGCCGGGTCTTGGTAGATTTGCAGTGGTCTGACACTCCTTCCATTTCAATATAATTGCTTGCACAGTGCTCCTTGAGATGTTTAAAGCTTGGGAAATCTTTTTGTATCCAAATCCGGCTTTAAACTTCTCCACAACAGTATCTCGGACCTGCCTGGTGTGTTCCTTTGTCTTCATGGTTCTCTCTGCGCTTTAAACAGAACCCTGAGACTATCAAAGAGCAGGTGCATTTATACGGAGACTTGATTACACACAGGTGCATTCTATTTATCATCATCAGTCATTTAGGACAACATTGGATCATTCAAAGATCCTCACTGAACTTCTGGACTGAGTTTGCTGCACTGAAAGTAAAGGGGCCGAATAATATTGCACGCCCCACTTTTCAGTTTTTTATTTGTTAAAAAAGTTTAAATTATCCAATACATTTTGTTCCACTTCACGATTGTGTCCCACTTGTTGTTGATTTATGACAAAAAATGTTAAAAATGTTAAAATGTTATATCTTTATGTTTCAAGCCTGAAATGTGGCAAAATGTTGAAAGGTTCAAGGGGGCCGAATACTTTCGCAAGGCACTGTAAGTAGTTTGAATATAGGTCCACTTTTGTGTAAGAAAAGCTATAGCAGTAACAGGTTAAGCGATTAGTCGCAAGGATGTATTATTTTAGTTACTAATTTAGTTTAAAGGTGCATTACAGAACTCATTGGGAGAGGGTCCGACCACTTGCCTTTGATGATGTTCCAGATGATGTGTGAAAAAATATACATTTGTAATCATTAAGATTAAGGTGACAGTAGCTCAGTTGGTAGAGCATTGGCCTTTGAGCTAGAGGGTCGTGGGTTTGAGCCCGACTTTCACCATCGACGCACTGTCTGCTGTCGTTGTGTCCTTGGCAAGACACTTAACCTCTGGAAACACCAGCCACAGTGGGGCAGCTGCGGCTGTAAAGTGCCAAACTGTCGTTGTGTCCTTAGGCAAGACACTTTACCCACATTGCCTAGAATGAGTCTGGTGTGTGTGTGAATGATTGGTGGTGGTCGGAGGGGCCGATGGCACATACTGGTTCTGTCACTTCTGTCAGTGTGCCCCAGGGCAGCTGTGGCTACAGTAGTAGTTTATCACCACCGTGTTTGGAGTGAATGAATAATGACATGTAAAGCGTCTTTGAGTGTCCAAAAAAGCGCTATATAAAACCGTTGCATTATTATTATTATTATTATTATTATTAAGATTTTCTCGAGTAGCATTACTAATATGTGATATTTAAAATGTACATATTCACTGGACTAACTTCTACAACTAATCCATTCGTCAAAAGAACTAATAGCTATCAACCAGTTGCCCACATAGCCCTGAACCCTGAAATAGCAGGAAAAGGATAAAATGTGTAAAACAGAGACAAGAAGAAGTGGAAGAAGAAAATGTTTTGATGAATACAGATACACATATACACATCAAGGCATGCAGCAAACATGAATTCTGCGCCCCTTTTAGGCAAAGTGGGTTAAGTGTCTTGCCCAAGGACACAACGACAGCAGACATCAGTGGAGTCGGTGCAGAGGGAGCACAACCTCAGTTTTATCGCTGTAATCATTTGTTCAATTTCAGATTTAGTATACCATTATGACAGTCTGTTAAAGTGATAAAAATAATGACTTTGTTTTCACAAGCTGCGTAATCGTATTAATGTTGTTGCAAGCAAATCTTCCACACTTTTGAAAAAGGAAATGCTGACTAACTACAACACGTAGCCAACAATTACTGGAAATAAAATAAAATTGCATTATCCAATTTCAACACACTCACATGCATTCATTATTTCAGACACAGAAGAGCCAACGCTCAGTCAATCTTAGAGAACGAAAGAATACTCACACGGTGAATATTCAGTGGTCTGATTTTGTCAGTACTGCTTTCTATGTACCTTAGGGAAATTAATCACACTTTACAGCATTTTAATATAATACACAAAACATACAGAACCATATCCTCAATACCCATATCCTTCCTCTTGTAACGTGTAGTTATAACACCAGGAGAGTCATTTATCATACCATTTGGACTAACATGTGCCCTGTCTGTGGAGTTTGGGATCTCAAGCACATCTTGTCTTGGAATGACAGCCGTGTACCCCTCGTGCGCTGCACACTGCACCACTAAGCAGTCCTGGCATCCGGCAGACAGGCCAGACTTGTGGTTGTTGTTTTGCTCGCTCCTCCTCGGTCTTTGGCTTGGGGCTATATGCACAACATAGACAGCTAGAACGTCTCCAAAACCAAAACTCAACTCTGAAGGTGCTAAAGTCCATACCTAGCTCACAGTTTATTATGACTACGAAGGTAAAGAAAACTTAACACAAAAATACTGATGTGGAAGTTAAAACAAAGCACTCCTAGTGTAAGTGAATCCTGCTATTTGTGCATTGGCCACTCAACAAGGCTGACCGCAAATACTGTCTGAAAAAAAGAACATTATAGACTATGGTGGATTCCTCAACAAGCCACCACGAGATGTGACATAAGCTAAACTATACCCTGCCAAAGTTTTTCAATTACAAGTGACATAGAACCTGAAGTGTTTTGCAGCTGTAGCTGAAGCATACAGTATGATGGCTATAATCCTATTCTAAAGTCACTATAATGTTAACCATATGCAGTATTCAGTTAAGAGTCCAGACGGTCAAAGGCCTCTATGGCCCAAGTCGGTTTATATATGCAGTTTTAATTGAGTGATAATGATGAGCGCTATTCTGAGATGGGCTTAAAAAGAGTTTATTAATTTGAATAGAGCCTTCTGGATTAGCTTTACTCCCCAGCACTAAATGCACACACTCTTTCCACTGGGGTAACATAAGGCCATTAGCATCAGACTCAGACCCCATGTTCACACGTTCATATGTGCAGGTGATAACACTTCATTTGTTCACCTTGAAAAAAATTACAATGTAAGAAGATAATAACCAGAGGGCAAAGATAAAAATCTATATCTCTCAATCCCTATGTAGATAGTTATCTTTCTTCGTGTTTTCTTGCCGTCTGTCCCCTTCCCTTTCCTCTCTCTATTTTCTACCATTGTTGTTATCAAATGATACAGTTGCTCAAGCGCAGCGTTTGAATCCTAAGGACCTCTGGGAGAGGATTGGTCTCCACCAAGCCCCTTCTAACGGGGATTAAGAGGATTATAAACCATAAAATGACCCCAGCTCTAGGTCCCCAGAGCCTGACCAGTCTGCCTGAGTCGAGCCCAGCCAGAGAAGTGCGCAG